ATTTGTGTAGAGGATATGATTGAACTCTTAGAGGTAGATGAGATCTTCAAGTGATAGGGTTTTGGAGGGAATGGATATGGGCCCATGATGATCCAGCAAACAAGACTGACAGAAGACTTGACCAAGAAAACAAGACTGATAGAATTAGGAGAGAGTGGCATCATTGTTTCCTAAGAAAAGATTAAATACACAGAAAACAGGAATAATACACAATGTTAAGACTTGCAGAAAGATTAAAGAGGATGAGGCCTGAGAAAAATCACCTGATTTAGTTGAGATCACCAGGAAACTTTGAGAGAGCAGCTTCAGTAGGACCATGAACTGAGACTTACAGGACCAAAAAGTGAAAGGATGATGAGGAAGTGAAAGCAATGAGTGTATATTGCCCTTTCTAGGACTTAAGCAATGAACAAATAAGATGGATAAATACAGCTAGAGGTAATGATAGGGTTAAATGAAGTTTTTTTCTTTAGTTTTTTTTCTTTTTTTAAGATAAGGGAGATGTAAGCATGTCTGTAGGCCACAGGGAAAGAGCTATTAGATGGGGAAATATTCAAAATGAGAGAAAAGAAGCTATCTCTGTACTGATGACTCATAAGTTTATATTTCCATCCCTATTCTTTCTGCTGAGCTCCAATCCCTCATCACTGACTACCTAACCATTTCAAACTGGATGTCTTGTAGGTATCACAAATTCACAGTCAGTCAATCATCATCAAGCATTTATTAAGTGCTTACTCTGTGCTAAGCACTAGGGATACAATGAAGACAAAAACTACCTTCAAGGAGCTCACATGCTAATGGGGAAACAATATGCAAATAATTAAGGACATAGAATATATATGCTGTGTGAATGGAAAGTAGGTAATCTCAGAGGGAAGGCACTAGCTATAAGTGGTGGGGGGGAGGGGAGAATGGAAGAGGGATGATGGGACCAACCTTATAGAAGCTGGGATTTAAACAGAAATTTGAAGGAAGCCAGGAGGTGGAGGTGGAGGTAAAGAAGGAAGGATTCCAAGCATGGGGTTTAGCAATTTAAAAGGCAGGGAATCAGGAGATGGAGTGTTGTGTGCTTAAATAAGAAGTTTCCCAGACCTAAGATGTATGTGCTTGGGCCCATACCAGGCGTTGGCCTCAGGCTCCTTTTAAACACTTGCTTGACCGGACTCTCATCTGTGTCTCTTATCCATAATGAACCACTTTCTGTGCCTCCTCATGCTTCTAGACTCTCTGAACCAACCATTCCTCTCCTTTTCTTAAGCAAAGGGATTTCCTCTCCAAAACCAGCCCTCTTTTAGAACTTCCTTTTTTGGGCAGAGGGCTCCATGAAACTTTCAGTCACCCAGATTCTCAGCCTCTGTGTAATTCTCAACTCTTCAGTCTCACTCCACCTCCACCCCTCAACATCCATTCCATTTCCAAATCTTGTTAACAACATCTCATATATATCCTTTTCTTTCCACTCAAACAGCCAAGACCCTCAAGCTTTCTTCACCTATTTCCTGTATGATTTATTAAAATAATCTCCTCATTGGTCTCTCTGCCTCAAGTCTCTCCACTGCTCTACCATTTTATCCAGGTGATTTTCCTAATGCACAAATCTGTGCATATATGACTCACCTACATGTGATTTCATAGAACAGATCAATCAATCACATCTATTAAGCACCTACTTTGTGTCAGGCACTGTGCTAAGTGCTGGAGATACAAAAAGAGGCAAAAGAGAGTCCCTGCCCTCATAGAGCTTATAATCTAATGGGAAAGACAACATGCAAACAAATAAATGCAAAGCAAACTATTGTTATTTTTGTTCAGTCATTCAATGTCCAAATTCAGTAGTGTCCAAATCTTCAAGACCCTATGGACCATAGCACACCAGACCCTTCTGTACTCCACTATCTCTTGAAGTCTGTCCAAGTTCATGTTCATTGTTTCTATGGTACTATTCATCTCATCCTCTGACATCCCCTTTTCCTTTTGCCTTCAATCTTTCCCAACATCAGGGGCTTTTCTGATGAGTCCTTTCTTCTCATTATGTGACCAAAATTTTTAAGCCTCAGCTTTACTATTTGACCTTCCAGTGAATAGCCTGAATTAATTTAAATATTGACTGATTTGATCTTCTTGCTGTCCAGGGGACTCTGAAAAGTCTTTTCCTGTACCACAATTCAAAAGCATCAATTCTGCAATGCTCAGCTTTCCTTATAGTCTATCTCTCACAGCCATACTTTGCTACTGGAAAAACCATAGCCTTGATTATATGGACCTTTGTTGGCAAGGTGATGTCTCTGCTTTTTAGTATACTGTCCAGATCTGCCATAGCTTTCCTTCCAAAGAGCAAGAGTCTTTTAATTTCATGGCTGCAGTTTCTGTCTTCAGTGATCTTTGAGCCTAAGAATATAAAATCTGACAATGGGTTGTTGAAAAAGAGTTCTTCCATTTTTTCTCCCTCTATTTGTCATGAAGTGATGGGACCACTTGTTAAGATATTATTTATTTTCAGTTAAGCTTCAGGCCAGCCTTTACCTTCTCTTATTTCTCTCTACCCCTCACCCCATCAAGAGACTTCTTAATTCCTCTTCACTTTCTGCCATCAGAGTGGTATCATCTACATATCTGAGATTGTTGATATTTCTCCCAGCAATGTTAATTCTGGTTTTTAATTCATCCAGCCTAGCATTTTTACAGGATGTACTCTGCATATGTTAAATAAATAATATACAGCCTTATTGTCCTCCTTTTCCAATTTCAAACCAATCGGTAGTTCTATGTTTGGTTTTAACTATTGCTTCTTGGCCCACATACAGGTTCCTCAGAAGACAAGGAAAATAATTTGGTACTCCCATCTCTTTGAAGACTTGCCATATTTTGTTGTGATTCACACAATCAAAGGCTTTAGTGTAGTCAGTGAAGCAGAAGTAGATGTTTTTCTGGAACTCCCTTGCCTTCTCCCTAATCCAGCAAATGTTGGCAATTTGGTCTCTAGTTCTTCCTCTTTGAAAACCAGCTTGCTCCTCTGGTAATTCTCAGTTCACATATTGCTGAAGCCTAGCTTACAGAATTTTTTTTTTTTTTTGGTTTTTGTTAGGCAGTGGGGTTAAGTGTGACCCTTGCCCAGGGTCACACAGCTAGTAAGTGTTATGTGTCTGAGGCCAAATTTGAACTCAGATCCTCCTGACTCCAGGGCCAGTGATGTATCCACTGACTTGCAAAATCTTAAGCATAACTTTACTGGCATGTAAAATGAGCATGATTTTTCAGTAATCTGAACATTCCTTGGCATTGTCCTTCTTTAGGATTGAGATGTAAACTGATCTTTTCCAATCCAGTGGCCAGTGTTGAGTTTTCCAAATTTGCTGGCATATTGAGCGCAGCACTTTAACAGCATTTTAGGATTTTAAATAACTCAGCTGAAATTCAATCACCTTTATTAACCTTATTATTAGCAATGCTTCCTAAGGCCCACGACTTCTTTCTCCAGGATGTCTGGCTCTAGATCAAACACTTTTTTTTTCAACTACCCAAAAGGTGACTCTACACATAGATATTATCAAATGGTTAATATAGAAAGCAAACTACGTACAGGACAAATAGGAAATCATTAACAGAAGAAAGACACTAGAATTTTCAGAGTTGGTAGGGACCTCAGTTACAGGTTTAGACCAAACCACGACTAAATAGGATTCTCTTCTGTGACATCACCAACAAGTAGTAATCCAGAATCATGTTATAGAATTTCAGAGCTGGAAAGAATCTTATTGATCAGCTAGTCCAAATCAGACTTGAAAAAAAACTTCCCACTACAACACACTCCAACATTAGTCACCTAGCCTTTTTTTGAAGACTTCTAGCAAGGAGAAATCCACTGTCCCTTGAGGCAATGCATTCTTCATTTAGATAGCTCTCATTGTTAGAATATCTCTCTTTAGGTCAAGACTAAATTTTCTTCTTTTTAATGATCCATCTAGTGCAATTATTATTTCTGCCCTATGGGATTCAGATAAACTACAGATCCCTCTTTCATGTAACAGACCTTCAAGTACTCGAAGATTAGCTATCACCCTCATCTCCCTGCCCCACCCCATCCCCAGGTTTTTCTTCTTTAAGCTCAACATCTCCAGTTCATTTATTGGTCTTCCTAGGGCATGATCTAGAGACCCTTCCCCATCTGGTTGCACTACTTTAGATGTTTGCTGGGACTTGGCTCAAATGATTGCAAGTAAAGACATAACCAGAGTCACATGGGATGGACAGTTCTGGATGATCTGTAATCAGTATTATTAGCAGAAACTTTCAAATTAATGAGTTGATGGATCCATTTGAGTATTTGATGATAATAAAAATAATAACTACCATTTGTATAGTGCTTTAAGAGTTATAAAACATTTTAAAAATTGCATCCCGATTTATTCTCACTGCAATTCTAGGAGATAGGTTTTGTTGTTGTTGTTATTATTGTTGTTGTCGCAGCTAGGTGAAAGGCAGTGGATAGGGTGCCAGGCCCACAGTCAGGAAAACTCATCTTCCTGTGTTCAAATTTGGCCTCAGAAACTTATTAGCTCTGTGATCCAACCCTGTTTGCTTCAGTTTCCTCATCTGTAAAATGAATTGGAGAAGGAAATGGAAAACCATTCCAGTATCTTTGTCAAGAAAACACCAAATGGGGATACAAAGAATCAGATGTGACTGAAAAAACCACTGAACCACAACGCAAAGTGGAATTATCCCCATTTTACTAATGAGAGGTTGAGAAAAGTCAAGTGACTTGCCCAGATAGCTGGTAAGTGTTTGAGACAGGATTTGGACCCAGTTCTTCCTGATTCCAAGTCCAGCACTCTATCCACTGTGCCACCTACTTGCCCATAGTGTGAGAACACATGAAATCACAGACGGGTATAATTTCTTGACATAATTATCAGTCACCTAAAACTTAAAATATGAGTCTCCCAGATTTCCCACTATATCATTGGTTAAAAAAAAATTTTTTTTAAATTTTTTACCTTTGCAGAAGATAGGCTGATCACATGCTGATCTTTTTCATTTGTAACAAGTTCTGTAATACTGAACATATGTCCAACAAGTTTCCCTACAGGCTTGGTGCTGATATTGGGATGCCATAATCGGAGGATTTTGTCATCTCCTGAAAATTAGGATACAGATAGTTTGTTTACCAAAGAAAAAGTAATTGACAGAATTCAGAAAGTTTCTCCTCCCTCCTGTGCACCCAACTATATCTCTCTATTCTAATTCCTAGTCGACCTCCTCCCAGGAATATTCCTTAATTAGCTTTCTAAGCTGCTAACATATTTCTGACCCATTCTTTAAACTTTAACACATACAGTAATGTATAATACATAACATAATATATAATATATATTATATATAATATATAAGACAACACACAATATTATAATGTATGATGCTATAATATATAATGTAATATGATATGATATATGATATATCATAATAATGACAATTTTATAATAATTGCACATAGATATTATATATAAATACTTACTGTCATAATTTTTTTCTCATTCCAGTGCTTTCTTATTTGAAATATATGTTTAAGAGAAGTAGTCTGTCAGGAACGAGGAACACTATCAAAAAAACTTAGTGATCACATGGAACCTATGTCAGATTGGTATTGCCCTGTATATCTCTCTTTTTTTCTTAGGCAATTGGGGTTAAGTGACTTGCCAAGGGTCACACAGCTAGTGTCAAGTGTCTGGTCTGAGACCGGATTTGAACTCAGGTCCTCCTGACTCCAGGTCCGGTGCCCTATCCACTGTACCACCTAGCTGCCCCATCCCTGTATATTTTCTTTAAAATAATGCTGATATTTAATAATATATCCTATAAGAACTGAATTACTTTTCTCTTCATATAAAACCAAAACAAACAAAACAAAAAACCCAAGTACCTCCCCTCTCCAAAAAAACACTATTCCATCTCCATCTATCAAGAATTATTTTTAACATAAGGGAAGTTGCTTCCCGCCCTTCCACAATTAATATAATCACAGAAAGCCCAGAATGTAATTACCAAACATAAAGTATGAGCTAAGGAATTTGCTTACAACTCCACAACAGTATAGTCACATATGCTATCATTCAACCAGCACACATTTATTTAGCACTTTCTATGTTCTAGGCATTATGCTAGACATTGCAGATATGAAGAAAGGGCAAAGATAGTCTCTGCTCTCAAGAAGTTTATATTGTAGTGAAGGAGATAACATATAATAGTAATAATGAGAGCTAGCATTTATGTAACACTTACTATTTGCCAGGCACTGTGCACTTTATAATTATTACATTGTAAAAATTAAATTAATCATTTGGTCCTCACAAAACTCCTGGGAGGTAGGTAGTCTTATTATCCCCATTTTACAGATGAGAAAACTGAAGCAAACAAAGGTTAAGTGATTTGCCCAGGGTCACACAGCTAGAAAGTGTCTGAGGCCAGATTTGAACTCGTGTCTTTTATGAGCCAGGCGAGTACTCTATCCACTGTACTACCTTGCTTTAATATAAATAAATAGGTATATACAAGGCATATGGGGGGGGTTTCTCTTCTCTTCCCCTACCTTCCACAATGTCATGAGAGCCATTGAACAGTAGGTGACAATGAATCCAGCCAGGAATAGAGGGACACGTATCCAAAGACAGCCATGGATGCAGAGACAGTCCCTTGGGGAAGGAGACAGCTTCAGGGGATATGCCAAGTCATAGCAGAAAGGAATACTGGCCACATCCTCAAGAAAGGAGCAGATTGTCTGACTCTGGTTGAGCGGCCTGTCCTTATCCAAGGTAAGGTACAGTACCGTTCTACAAAGAGAGTACAGATCATGCTGTGCCAGCAGTTATGAGTTGCTCTTTGCCTTCAAGTGTCTCATTACCAACATACTCTTTACCAACATACTCTTAACTTTAACTCCACTACTCCTATGGATGCTGGGAATTTGTGTAAAAGTATGTCCTAGGCTTTTGGAAGGAAGCTTGTACCAACTGTTTTAACTATCCTATCTTAGTAAATGTCTTTGTAAAAACTAATTATTAAACCTATTGAGTAGCGCATGTAATATTAGTCACCCTCTAGGGACTCGACCATAACTATGAGTTCAGGTTCGAGGAGTATCCCAGAGGAGGGGTTAAATGAAATTTCTTTATTTCCAAAGCACTTAAAATACAGTGGGGTCCATTTTCACCAAGTTCCTCTACCAAAGTTCTATTCTCATTCCTAACTATGGCATGGAAATGATCCTGGGTTTTCAGAGGCTGTGCCTTTGGAATTCAAGCACTATCTAATCACTTTCATGTATAACTGCTCAATAGTTCATAAAACCCTTTCACAGTCGATTCAGTTCAGAGTAATTCAATTTGACAAGCATTTATTAGACATTCAACACATGCCAGGCACTGTGCTAACCCTCAAAAATACATTCTACTGTGAGGAAACAATGTGTACAGATAAGTAAATAAAGTCGTGGGACAGACTCAAAGGCTGTGGTTTGCTAGCCACTAACATACGGAAATCAAGAAATGTAGGCAGGCAGGTGGAGTATAATGACTTTGCCCAATGAGGTCAGTCCTGCACCTGTTTCTTACTCATAAGAATGAAAGAATGAAAGAGTTTTATCACCATCACTTTTAAATGGGAGGCAAGAGCCCTGGGTGCTTTGTAAGGAGGGCAGTCTCTATAATTAGTGCTGGATTCGGTAGCTGGGAATTAACCAGCAAGTCATATGGCATTTCTAACCCTGTTAATATAAAGTCTCTGTGAGAGATACTGTCCTTGGTAATCATGAAATCTAGTAAAAAGACACTTTTAACCCTGACAGCACTAGTGAGCCAGAATGCCTGTGTCTCTGTGTTCCAAAGAGCTGAGCCTAGGGCCAGGACTCTCTATGTAGAAGAAAAACCTAATTCCTAACCAAGTCTCAGAAAAACAGATAGGCCTCTATAAGATACTGAGGTGTTTTTTTTTTCTTTTTTCCAGTTCTGTGACTGGGTATTTTAGAGCTTTTGCATTCTTAAATAGAGCTGTAGAAGCCAAACCTCTAGGCTTTAAGCTAAAAGAGCAATGGCAGAGACCACTTAGACTATGGGGAAGAGGTTACACCCCAACTCAAAGCTCTGTTTGGAAGCAGAGAAGAATTCTGCAACCAGAACAGCAGTGACCAGGCCTAGCAGGGTCTCTGTGCCACACTTAGGAGCCCAGCAGAAAACACACTTAATGACATCATCAGAATACACCAATGACCCCACAAAATAAGAGCCATGAGTGAGTTGCCCTGCCACATGTAGACCCTTTTATATGTGTACCTTGGCCACAAATATTCCCTCTACAGGTGTCCTTCCATGTGTACTCCCTGGCTACATGTGCCTTACGTGAGTCCACTCTTCCCAGTGATGGCATATGTATTTGTGGTGGAATTTATGGTGGAATCATTTTATGGCTACTTTTTTTGTTATACTATTACATCATATGTCTTTGCAACAAATCATATACTCTGGCCTACTAGAAAAAGTATACACATCAGTAAGGGGTTTGTGTGCACAATTTTAAATTGATACAAACCCACAGAGTATGTTAAATAGGTAGCCCTGACTGGGGGATCCACTGTGGGAACTGGGGGTTGCCCCAAGGTGCTATACAAAATATATACAAAGCAATTCCTGGTTGGGAGAGAGGATAGTAACGTTGGTGGGAATATTTTTGTTGTTCAGTTGTTTTTCAGTCATATTGGGGTTTTCTTGGTAAAGATAAAGTGGTTTGCTATTTCCTTCTCCAGCTCATTTTACAGATGAGGAAACTGAGGCAAATACAGTTAAGTGATTTGCCCAGTAAGCTAGATTTGAACTCAGTGAGTCTTCCTACTCCAGGCCTCCAATCTATCCACTGTGCCACCTAGCTGCCCTGGTAGGAATATAAAGGACTATATATAGGAGGCGGCACTTGGCTGATCTTTGAAATGAGCTAGGAATTCCAAGAGGAAGAGAAAAGGAGAGAATGCATTGTAGCATTCTAGCAGCATGTGCAAATACATAGAAATGGTAGATAAAATGTCAAGCATGGAGCACAGAAAGTAGGGCAGTTTGAACAGAAAAGGGTTTTTGAGGAGTAATATGAAATAAATCTTGAAAGACAGACTAGAACACAACTGTGAAAGGCTCTAAATCCCAACAGAGAAGTTTATATCTTATTCTAGATATCAGAGGGAGCCAGTGAAATTTTTTGAGTAGAGGAGTCACATAGTGGTACCTGTGCTTCAGGACCTTTTTGAAAAATGGATTAGAGAGGGGAGAAGGTATGAGCAAAGATGCCAATTAGGTGCATCTTCATTTTCTCCCTTTCTACTGGCCCCTCAAGAGATGGTAGGCTGCCCTTGCTTGGAAGTTTTCAAGGAGCTGGATGATGACTTGTCTGGTATGTAATAGTAGAGATTCTCTATGGGTATGGATTGGACAATGAAGTCCCTTCACACTCTCTACACCCTTCCGTCAAGACCCCTAGTTTCTTTCAGGGCTCAGCTCAAGTGTCCCCTACTATGAGGCTTTTCTTGACACCCTCTGCCCTGTCCCCACCTGCTCATGCTTTCCCAACCAAAGCATGTTGAACTTACTTTGTATACACATTTAGAGAAACATAACCCGAGGTGGCATAGGGCAGTGGTGTCATAGTCAGATAGGAATGGGCCACTAAATCCTATATAAGGGATTCGTGTGGCTGCATATCTATGTTCTATTGTATTTTTGTGTATTTTGTTAAATATTTGCCAATTTTATTTTAATCTGGTTCAGGCCATGGGAGCCAGGTGTTTGACACCTCTGGTGTAGTGGAGAGAGTCTGGCTCAGAATGTAAAAAACCTGGGTTCAAATCTTGCCTCAGATACTTTCTGGCTAAGTGACCCGGGATAAGTCACTCTATCTCTATCTGCCTCAGTTACCTCATTTTAAAATCAAGATAATTCTAGTTCTTATCTTATAGGTTTGTTGTGAAGACCAAATGAGATAATATGCATAAATATACATAAATCACTTTGTAAATCTTAACTAAGTAAATGTTTGTCATCAGCAGACAGTTGTGGGGTGCAGTAGATAGAGTGCTAGACCTAGAGTTGGGAAGAATGGATA